TTGACCCTGTGAGCCACAGATTGCCTCTCAGTAATTGTGGATTTTGTATCCTAGCCTGCATCTGCTCCTGAAGATGAAGCAGCCAGCTGCAGCCACAGCCAGCTCTCACTGGTCCTTGTCTGAGTGAGGCACTCACACCCCTGGGTGCTCAGAGGAGCCAGGCCTGAGCTGGAAAGTGGCTGCCTGCTGGAAAGCTCGGGCTGCTCTTTTACATTCAGTCTCTGGAGCCTCAGATCATAGCTCTGCCCTTTGAGACAGGAGCTTGGTAAAAGACTCCCGGTACTGGTATAGTAAGATTGGTATAGTAAGATTTCTTGCAAGATCTGACCCAAAAAATGAAGCTGTAATTAGAGCTTGTTTAAAAAAAAAAAAAAAAAAAAGCCTGTGTCTTCAGTGCAAATCACTGGATAGAAAAAAAATCAAGATCCAGATGAAAGAAGTTAGCCGGGAATGGAAAACTCTTTATCCTAGTATTTCCTTTTTTTTTTAGTAGGTTTTCATGGGAACTCACTTGTGAACAGACTTTGAAGCTGGGGTATTAGAAGGCAAATCTTAATAAATTTTATCAGATCAACTTCCCATCATTCTTCCGGCTGCCTTCTTTCCTCCTCTGGCATGGTCATTTTGGATTTTACACGCACTCAGAAAGCCAAAAGCCAAAGACAGTCAACAAAGCAATGGAGGACAACTGATTCCTGTCACCTTCCCCTCCAACCCACTGCCACCAATTCTGGGCAACCAGAGGTGCTCGTTTGTTGTGCCTCCTAAACATCTTAGTCTGAGGAGGAGACAGGGGGCAACAGACCGAGCAGAGAGGGAGGTACACTGGTTATTATGCAGGCACCATCAGGACACAGGTTAAGTTTGGTAATGAAAATAAAATGCTTGAAGCCTCAGGGAAATTCTGGGAGCTCATGAATTTTAATTTCTTAGTTCTGAAATAATTTCAGACTTACATAAATGTTTGCTAAAAATGCACAAAATATTCCCATGTACCCTTCTGCTAGGTTTCCCAAATGTTAACATTTTACTATGTCCTTGTTGATTTTTTTGCTGAACCAATTGAGAGTAAGTTGAAGAACAAATGCCCATTTATCTCTAAACATTTCAGGGCGCATTTCCTAAAAACAAAGACATGTCCTTATACAACCACATACAACTAGAAAAATCAATCAACATTAATATAGTGCTACTGGGTAGGCTACAGGTCAAATTCATAATTTTTTCAATTACCCTACTATTTTCCTTGATAGAAAAAAATTTTTGCAAGATGCTTGTCTAGGATCCTGTCCAGCACCACATATTGCATGTAATTGTCACACCTCTTTAGTCTCCTTTAATCTGGAACACTTGCTTAAAATTCATTTTTCTTCATGCTCTCAGTATTTTGAAGAATATAGGTCACTTATTTTATACAGTGCCTTTCAATTTGAATTTGTCTTCCATTTCTTTAACTTCAGATGTGATTTGTTTTTGGCAGTAACAGATGATATTCCATAGCTGATACAGGAGACCCTGAGTCCATATCGATATAAATAGGTGAGAAAGAAAGGAAAGCTCTTCTTTACTGCAATGGAATGCCAAATACTAAGTGTAGAGAGATTGATAGGACTTAAAAAGCACCATTTGGCAACCACTATGCTAATAACTGGTTCATAAAAGAATTATCAATAAATGTTAAAACTAGTGGATGAAAACTTGAAGAGCTTTGGAGTATTTCCTCAAATAGCACTTATCATCATGAAGCGGATCAGTGCGACTTTACTGCTGAAAAACCTGGTAGACACCATCTTAGTTAAAAGATCAACCTTAACATGCCAGCACTGGGAAATAGCGACCCTGTCAGTGTACCGCCTGTGTGATAGACTGAGAAGGAACTGCATCTCTTATTTTAGCAAGAAGAAGAAGAAGAGAAAGAGGAGGGGGAGAAAGAGGAAGAGGAAGAAGAACCCTCCTGCATAAGAAGCTTAAGAATTTTAAAGACTTGTGGTTCTTCCCAGAACGCTTCTCACACCAGTCTTTTGCACTTCACAGAGCCTGTCTTGGAAATCACCTTGGGAAGAGGAAGAAAGGCCCAGGGTGCTGATGAGAACAATCCACTTGGATGGAAACTGGTCAGTAACAGTTTGTGGACCATGTGACCTTCCTCAAACATCAGGCATGACACATAAATACCAACCACCTGGCCTCCAAGACAGAGGGTAACAGGAGAAAGACTCAGGCTGTTATCACCCCCAGGATTCATGGATGGAGGGACCAGAAGGGGATGAGCAAGGCTGGGCAGTGGCTGCTCCCACTAGACTCCCGTCCCTCCTGTTATTCCCTACTGTGAAAACCAGACTTGACCTCGGCCATATGTCACAGCTCAGCACTAAACTTACAAATGAAAAGACCAAGCTCAAATGTCTTCCAGCTCTGCTCTGTCCTGTTCCTCTAGCTCAGATTTAGAGGGAACAACATAAGGTTCTCGCAGTGTTTGATCCAGACAGACCAACAGATCTTCACAATATGCCCTGGCACCCTCCCCTCAGCCCTGACCCCCCACCAAGCATCCTGCATCCTTCTGCCACATCCTCATCCTTTTCTATGCCAGTTCTACTGTCCCCACTTTCTGACCCAGGGGTATCTATTAAACTATAGCAATTAAGGAAATAAGCACCTGCTACGCAAAAGCCTCAGACAAGAAAAATCCATGGTGTTGTAAGACAGATACCACAGGCTGCAATGCTTACTGGCAGGCTATTTCCAGTAAGAAGATACACAATCAGCTATAACTGTGTACCCTTTTTATGTTTATAAATGTTTTATTTTGTTTTATTTATGTTTTAAGTTGCCATGAAAAACAAGCCACTGAAAAACATTCTACTACTGATTTTAAAAAATTATATATACATATATTTTTAAATACAATTTTAAACCACTTGTGCTAACCTGAGACAGACATTGTACAGAGAAGGGAAACTCACAAATACCAAAACTTTTGCAACATAGATTTTCATCTCCCTTATCATAAGACACCAATAAGAATTTCATATTTTTAAAGCATGTGCTGCCCTAACTACTAAAGATAATAACACGAATGCAGCATCACTGGGACCCATAGGTAGTTTTAAAGTTCAGGATCTAAATCTTCTACTAAGGTACCCTATTTTTTTATCCATCTTGTTTGTGAGCAAGAACAAGCACTAACAAAACTATCATCAGAATAAGGACTGCATTTTGTACTTACGGAAAGTTGTTTTCAGTGTGAAATCTTCTCACGCAGGAATTACACAGGCACCTATTTTTTATGGGAATGAACAACTTCTGCTTATTAACCACAGGAGAAGGAAGAAGCCCCAGACTTTTTTAGCTTTATCCACAGAAGTGGTAGGTGCGAAGGCGAGAGGTACTGACCGAACTTCAGAAGGGAGAATTGGAAGATGATACCTTCTCCTCTCACACATGGTCAAAAGATTGTGCTGTTAATTGTCAGTCATCCTTTTCTCTGAACTGCTGTGACTAAATGTTGGTGTCATTTCCTCCAGGAGGAATTCAGATCGGTTACTCTTTAGCCTCAAGAGCAATCAGTATAGGGGTGCTGCTTTCAAAGTCTGGAATCGACTTGTTACTACCATAAGGCCTTGGAGCCTAGCTATCCACGGGTCTCATCGGTTTTGCTTTCCAAGATGAAGTCACAGAATTCCACAGTGATAAGTGAGGAAGTTACATGTAGGCAGGGTGCCCACACAAAAGTTGGGAAAATGGTAGGGGACCAATATGATGTTTAGTCCCCCAAAAGCACTGACCACACCGAGCACTAACAGCCTGTTTTCACGGTTACCTACATCCCCGTCTTCATACATTGACCTCTGCCATCCTCAGTTTTTATATGTGCTGTTTTTTTTAAGTGTTTGAGAACCTTTTGTGACTCATAAGGGAGAGTTTCATGGGGATTTAGCTCTTTCTTTGAACCTGTTTAGCCAGTAAAACAATTATTTTCTCGAAAACAAAATGAAGCATCTGAATTCTTCCCAACTAAACCCAGAAGCTTAGGAAAAGCTTCCTCTTTTCTGACGCTTTCATCTCTGGACTCTCAGGTCCAGCATTCAGTCCCAAGTGGTCATGTGTCAAAGGGGCACGGGGTGGCTAGGGTCGGAAAGCTGGCCAGGATGAATTTGAATGTTTACAATGAAGTCAGCCCAGAAACTTGTCCCAGAACAGCCTTCCAAGCAAGAAGTCAGGGTTTCATCCCCTCAGATCACTGCTTCTTTTCTTACTATGTTTGGTGAAGGGGAAACAGTGCTCTTTAGGTACAAAAAGAAGAAAATGATGGGGTGGGGGGATGCTTCCTCTATAGAAATATAAGCATAAAAATTATAGATTCTTTTGTCTCTGCTCACTTTTCTAAAGGATAGTATTTTAATAGACCAAAGAGTCATCAATTAACGTTGGCGACTGTTTATGAAAAAGGTATAATGCAGGAAAGCCAGACCGCGGCTTCTCTCCATGAGTCAGCACCATCTGTGGATGGCAGAGGGAGAGAACCAGGCCCCATGGAAGGAGCTCCCAGTACGGAAACCAGCGCCATGTATGGGCTGCTGCTGGCTTGGGGAGAGCCAGACCCAAGCCTCTCTCCATAAGTCAGCGCCATTTGCAGACTGTGGAGGGAGAGAACCTGGCCTCACAGGGAGGAGATCCCCACCCAGAAACCATATAATTTTCATTGTTTTGTTGGGTTGGGTTTTTATTTTCTTTTGTTTTGTATATGTTAACACTGACAACATGAGCAGCTATTTAAAAGATAGCAAGGCATGATATGTATTTACTATTGGCTTGTGTTGATGTCCTTTATTGCATTCATTGTTTTGTTTATATTATTTCTGTTTTATTCTGTTTGGTTTTTAATATGTTTGAAGGTAGTATCTGCTGCTATTTTGAAGACAACAAAGGTATTGTAGTAACTATTGTTGATTTCATAAAGTTTGGAAGTCCTGTATCACTAATTCTGATTTGGTTGATTTTGGTTTTTTTCCTCAGTTTTATTCTTGTTAAAATAAAAAAATAAAAATAAAGTATAATGTATTAGTCATTATGGAATATTACATAAATAAACCTTGCATACATGAAATACATAAAAATTATTTCACAGGAAAGTGAACAGTTAAGGACTTCCAAGCTTTTAATATCTTTGTTCCAAAACAGAGTTCCAGGGATATTTATTTCCTTAGGATATTCCACTGCCAAGCTGAGAACTTCACCAAATTGTTTATTGTTTTCTTCCTGGCTTGTAGTGTATACCAATCCATATAGCTTACATTAGAAGGTCTGTTGCATGTGATGGTTTTGCTTAACCACGTGGAGTTATCAGAGATTTCTTCCACATTTTGCATCCTAAAAAACCAAAAGGAATTTTCTCATAAGAAGAAAAATATACAGAACATAACTTCCCTGATGGGTAATTCTCTGACTTGTACCACTCAATGCTTTCTGCATGACTCAGTGAGTCTGATGTTTGATATCAGACTTACTGTCTCTCACCCAAATATCTATTATTTCCTGGGGGTCACATATTTCTGTCAGATGCTTTTTTCTTGGACTTGATATGTCCTAGAGAAACCCAGAAGCCCTGGCCCTAAGCCATCTCCCTTCAGAACCATTCTACCATCCATTTTCAAATTCTCGACACATGAAGTCTCCATTCACTGTTCTGTGTAGATTCGATGCTCTTGGTGTGCAGCTGAGGAACTTGCTTGGCCTTGTGACTCCAGTATAGCACTGTTTGCTGTGCACCACCTCAACTTCTTGGAAGCAGCAAAGGGGAAAGGCACCTCCAGGCTGGGGGAGTCCATTGGGGAACCATGCTGGGACATGTGTACAAGGTGCCATCTGCTCTTCGTGCAAAGAAGGGTCACCCATGCAGATTACCCAAGCCTCCTTTGCCAAAAATGTGTATTGTTCCCCCAGCTATGAGCTTGTGAAATCCAAAATGTATTTTAGCATGAAATAATAAAAACAGGTTTATTTTCCTTTAACAAAGTTGTCTGCCAGACTTTGTTGTTGGTTGTTGTTGCTGATGTTGCTGTTGTCATTTTAGTTTAGCTGATTTGGAGGGGACAGTGTTTATTCATAGATTAAATGTCAACATTGAGCATTTAATTTTTCCCAAAGGGGTTTGGCTCTCCATGGCTGTTCTGGACCAAAAGTAGTTTTGGTGGAAATGAGGGCCAGAGACTGAGATTAAGGGCAATGAAATAATCTGGTAAAAGAAATTTCAGGCAGTCTAATGTTGAGGCAGTAGCATGGCTATTGTTGGGAGCTTTTAGCCAGACTTATGTTATGGATCAATAGCAAAGAACCCAGCAGGATGATTCAAAATGTGGGTTTGACCAAAAAGCTGTAGACTATAAAGATAGAGCTAAAGCCTGGGTTACTAAAAAGAAACAAAAAAAATAAATAAATAAAATAAAATAAAAAATAAAAAAGATGCCTAGGGGCTTCCCAGAAAGCAGCAGGTCTCTACCCTTTGCAGCCTCAAAACTGCAAAAGTAAATAACTTTGCTCAGAGGAAAAAGCCTTAGATTTCTGTGCTCCAGAGTGGCAAGAGAGGCCACCAGAGGTTCCGAAATGGTAGCAGCACAGAAAAGCTGTTCCTCACAATCAGGTTCAGAAAGCCCAGCCGCAGGCGCTTGACCCTTACAGCCAAGAGAAAAAAAATTCAGGCTACTGCTCCAGCTGACAGCAACCTCAGCAGCATCCATGCGGCACTGGTTTTAGGCAAATGGAAATGCACAAGTTCTGAAGTTAAGACAGCCTGATTTCAGAAAGTCTGGGAGGCCAAACAATACACCCCTGAAAGGGTAGTGAGTGTAAAGCCAGAAGGACAGTAGAGACCCCAAAAGTTTAAAAAGTCAAAAACATAGATAATCCAAAATAAGCTACAAAGACTAACCAGCACAGGATTAAAAAAAAAAAAAAAAGCTACAAAAACTAAAACCCCTAAAAGTGAGGGTGGAGTTACTCAAGCCTTTTAGAGCTTACAGTCAGATTGCTTTGGATGCTGAGTATAAAATTCCAAGACTTAATGTTTGCTCTGCTGGATTTTAGACTTGCTTTGGTTCCAATACTTTGTATTCCCCTGTTTATAACTTTTGGAATGGTAATGTTTATCTTGTGTCATTTATGTTAAAAGTATTTAACTTTATTTTTCATTTATACAGGGGCTTACAGCTAAGAGTTTGCCTTAGATCTTAAAAGAGACTTAAGACTTACACTGTTCAGCAATGCTAAAACTGTTAAGACTTTGACAACTCTTAGAGATAAACTGAATGTCTTTTGTATAAAGCATATACATAAGTCTTTGGGAGACCAGGGATAGAATGTTATGGTATGTGTTCAGATCCCCCCCCCCAAGCCTCATTCAATCATAGACATGGCTGAACCTAGCATTTGTGATTGGTTTGTTGTCTAGCACTGGGATTGGCGATGTGAGTGCTATACCCACCCAGGGGTGGAGCCTACATAAGTTTTCTTTACTCTGTTTGCTTTTGCTGTTTGTGGTGACCATGAATGGCTGCCCCACCATGCCTTTCTGCCTTGGAGCCAAGTGAGTATAGACTAAAACTCCCAAAACTATAAGAAATAAAACTTCCCTTGCTTCACTTTGGGTGTCAGATATTTTGTCTCAACAGTGAGAGAACACAAGACACACATCTGTGGCTCAGACTCCTTCTGTGAAAATAGAGATGAAAATAGCACCTTCTTGAGGGATATTCAGGGTTAAATGTCTTAAAACATGCAGAGTCCTTTGAACAGTGCTTGGCACATACAAGTGCTCAGAAAATTAGTATCTTACAATGCCCACAATGTGTGCCCAAATTGTCTACAAGTTATGTTATTTACTGAATAATTTTTAATTAGCTGAATTTTCATCTAAAATTTAATTTGAAAGAAAAATTTATATCTATCTATGTGTTTTCCAACTGTAAGTGGAAAATCAGTATAATATGCTACAAATATAAGGGGGTCATAAAATAGTAATCATACATATTCACTGAGTATTTATTACTTGCTAGGTGCTGTGCTAAATATCTTGATTTTTATAATTCTCATAGCCCATAAGGTCAATACAATCACCACTTGCCTTTATTAGCTGAAGAAACTAAAACAGAGGGGGTAAGAAATATAGTTGCACAGCTAGTATATACATACTATGTATATACTAGCTGTGCAACTATATACATAGGTTTTCTGCTCCAAAGCCTAGGTTTTTCAGCTCTGTTCTGTGCTTCTCCCTCAATGCAAACCAGAGCATTATTCAATTTGCCCACTGGGCTGTATTAGCTTCCTAGGGCTGCTGTAATAAATCGCCATAAACTAGATGGCTAGAAACAACAGAAACTGATTCCATCACAGTGGAGGCTAGAAATCCAAAATCAAGATGATGATAGGTCCATGCTTCATAAAAACCTCTGGGAGATGATGCTCCCTTGGTCCATCCAGCTTCCAGCAGCCCTCGGCATTCCTTGGTTTGTGGTAGTGGAGCTCCAGCCTCTTCCTGTCTTCACCTGGATATCTTCCCTCTGTGTGTCTATAATTATGTCTCTTCTTTTCTTATAAAGACACCAGTCGTATTGGATTAGCACCCACCCTAATAACCTCAACTGAACCTGATTAAATTTGCAAGGCCCTATTTCCAAATAAGGTCACAGTCACAGGTACTTTTGTGGGGTTTGGGGGAAGCAGGAGACACAATTCAACCTAAAACTGTGGCCACCTAAGGCAAAAATATTGCTGGTGTTAGGGAAATGTTAAAGATTGGTACCAATCTTCAGCGTTCACATTTATGCAACCAAAATGGAAGGCATCAGGACAAGAAAAGGATAATGGCCTGGATATTTTAGTGATACTAAGTGCTCACTGTGAGTGTAAGCTACTGACACAGACTCTTTAGGGAAAATAGTTTGGTAATAGAAAGCCACAGGACAGTTTTTCCCACCTCTCAGACATCTTTCATGGGAGGATGGCAGTAGAAAGCTGGAGAAAAATGCAACCTTCCCAAACTCTGGGGTGAAAGGGTCAGGTGCACAGTGCTCACCTCTAGAGTGTGCTTTTTATAGCTGGACTGGAATAGTAAATTCAGACAAACACTAAAGTCTTCCTTCATCCTTATTAGGGGACTAATAAAGAACAACAGTAGAGGCCATAGAGAGGGACCATTTATTTTCTGACTGCTGCAGTGAGCATTTATGGAGAAAAACACTCTTTCTTCAAGAGGAATTTGAGAGGAGGGTATGGGGGTGTAAGGAGGAGGCGTTATCTTGCTGTCAAACCAAAGTGTCCTTAGTCAAAGGAACTGTGCAGATTTCATAGAGATGGGAGGTCCTCATCTTGAGCTCCCGGGCCACCTGACAGATGGAAAGTGGCCAACAGCAGTGCACCACCAGCCAGTCCTCGCACAAGGTGCCCTAGGGGAAAACCAGCATCTCTGATCTGTCCAAACTGCACAGGCTCATTTGCGCTCCACAAGGAACTGGACTGTGACCTGCTGGCTCATCCTGCCCACTGCTTCCAAGATCTACCAACGGCCCTAGGTCAACATGCAGGACGGGACACAGGGATGCCCACATGTCACACAGCTCAGAGACGGACCCACACTTACAATTCAGGCCCTGCCTTCAGGCTCTGGATTAGGGCCTCTTTCTTCAAACCAACCATTTCTCCATTAATAGCTTGGGTCTTTTCCTTTTAAGACCTGATACTTATTTCTTTGACACTGGTAATAAGTGTAAAATTGACACGGTAAAGACAGATAGGAAATCAAAAAGTAATCCTCTTCTACAGCCGCCCTTAGCCATCCAGTTATCTGCCTGGGGCAACTGTTGTTACACACATCCAGAGAAACTCTATGCCCATATAAGGATATATCCATATATGATATATATGATATGTAATCTTTTTACACAAGTAGATGCATATTCCTGTGCTTTTTTTTTTTCTACTTATAAAAATATATCGTAGAGACCACCTCCTTGAATGCATAAAGAGGTGCTTTTCATTTTTGGTTTTTTGACACAAGGTTTGGTTACATAGTCCAAGCTAGCCTTGAACTCGCAGTATCCTCCTACCTGAACCTCCCGAGTGCTGGGATTACAAGCATGCAGCACTACGCCTGGCAAGAGATACCTTTTTAAAACTGTCCACATCTTAATATACATGACTTGTCTCTCCCAGCTTCTCTTGTGCTTCAATTTCCGCTGAGCTGGAAACTGACTATCTGACTTATCTGAAGACCCCTGGGAACCCCCAAAGTGAATCTGCATGTCACATAGGCTATATTTTAAATCAGATCTCCCAAGTATATCCTCCAAATTTGATAAACTTGGTATAATATGATAAATTTTATATAATTCCATCAGCCATCTTCTCATAAAGTAATAAAAACAGACAGAAGATACTACAGTTTTATTTCTATACGTAGAAGGCAATATGTACTGCCTTAGGGGTTAAGACTAATCAGTTACCTCCTCTTATTACTGTTCATCAAAGCACACTTCAGGATGCACTGTTTGGCCAATGACCTGGTCAAGCCACTGACCAGCAGTTTACATTATATTTTGCCTCCTGAAAACACACCGACAATGTAGCATTTTAGTTAACTTATGCTTCCTACTAAAAAATAGAATAAAATATTTCCTTTCTCAAAGCTTCCCATTAACTATGATGTCTTATCTATCTATCTATCTCTATATCTCTATATCTCTTTTCCTCCTCTCTATGGAAAATCACAGATTGGAAGCTATTTAACTTCCATCAACATTCACGTATACTTACCTCAAATGCACTTACCTGTATTTTATATCTCTCTCTGGTGCCAATTCTCAGTGCAAAGGTAGAGCCAGGTAACAATGGCCAACAAAGACATTCTCCATAAAATCTGGCAATGTCACACTCAAGACACATTGGACAAAACAGACCACAAAAACCTGTCAATAACCACATAAAAGAAAGGCAAGGTTGTCAGACATTCAGGGAGCAACTTCACATCTTAAGTAACATTTACAGCTCTATGCCATCCATTTAATGTTGCGTTGCCTACCAGCAATTAGGGAATGAGGATGAATAACCAGTTCACAAACTCGCACATGAAAATTGCTGTCACTGGATTACATCAAAATTGTCTCCTTTTGTTAAACACTGGCAGAGCTGAACCTGATACAATTCTGTTAGCATTGACTACAGTAAATTGCTTTTTCCCAGCAAGAGAAATGTGTTAAATAATTTTTGAATCATAACTGTTGCTTCTGTTATGTTAATATAATTTCATTAGTTAAAATAGACATAGTATATAGAATACTCTTGGATAACATTTTTATAAATATAATTGAAAGTCTTTAGATGGCACACTGATTCTACCTCCTATTCTTAACGGATTTTTTCTATTTATTAGACCAGAAGAATATTCTACTTTTTGTTAGTTTCATGGAGCCAGTGACATGTGCCAGCTTTAATCAGCACGGGATTAGAGGTTTGGTCTCTTGAATGTAAACTGGGAAACAGTTTGTCATTTATTAGTTCATTCCTCTTTAACTACTGAAATGGTGTCTATACATTCTGCATGAACCTTCTAACACAGAGGTTCTGAATATGTTTTGGGTCACAGACTCTTTTGAAAATATGATGACAGTTATGTATTCCCTTTCTTCATGAGGGAAAAGAAATGTATGTGAATAGAGGCATGCAAAATTATGCATTCAATTTCATGAGTTCAAGGATCTGTTGAAAACTATTAATGGACCACTGGTTAAGATCCCCTGATAAAGAGCAGGAATGCAAATAATTAGGCTATGAGACACCAAAACTATCAAGCTAATCATCCTCTTTAACGAGTGAGTTGCTTTCAATAAATATTTTTATGAAGGTGGATTTATACATAAGAAAATGCACATATCTTAAGTGTTCAGTTGAATGATTTCAACAATCACATTCACCCATGTAACCAAACATGTAGAATACTGCCTTCACCCAGAATTCCTTGAGCCCTTTTCTAGTCAGTCCTAGCCCTCCCCTCCTACCATCCTGAGGGAACCACTGTTCCAATATTTATTCCCTCAGATGAATTTGCCTCTTCTTAGACTTCATGTAAATGGAATCATATTTACTTTCTTTTCTTTTCTTTTTTTTTTTTTTTTTTTGTCTTTTTCTTTTTTTTAATCGGTACCGGGGATCGAACTCACGACTGTCTGCTTGCAAGGCAGGCGCTTATGCCACTGAGCTAAATCCCCAGCCGCCATATTTACTTTCATACCTAGCACTAAAGGTACTAGCATACCTTTATTTGTCATGCTATATTTGAGACTCATATGCTGTTATATGAATCGCTAGTCTTTCTTGTTGTTAAGTAGTAGCCCATTGTGTGATTATTCCACAAATAACCGTTCTAATAAATGGTTGCTTATTCCATTTGTTGCTATTATGATTTAGCCTGCTATAAATATTCATCTCTATGTGGATATGTGTTTTCATCTTGCTCTCACTCCTGAAAGTGGAACTGCTCAGCCATAGGATAGATACATAATTAACTTTACCAAAAAAATGACAAGTAGTTCTACAAAATGTTTGTACCATCTCATGCCATCCAGCAATGTGTGAAAATTCTAGGTGGGCCACATTTTTGCCAACATTTACTGTTGTCAGTGTTTTGTATTTTAGCCATTTTAGAGAATATGAAGTGGAAGCTACCTCAGCTATACAAAGGCTCACATACCATGACACCAGCACCGTAGAAGAGCTTCCTGTGGATGGCCTGTCTCTGCCTTCCCTGCCTCTCCAACAGTGAGCGCTACAAAGTTCCTCTCTCTAGTTTAGTGGCAGAGAGGCACAAAGCTAGGAAGGCTCTCAATTTAGAACCTTCCGGGGACACTTCAGAACTCTGGATGTCTTTAACTTACATAGTGGGTACAGTATTGCACCTCAAAATCAACACGAAAGCTGTGGGGAGGAGGGAGCAGTCTGTTTTTCTTTGAGGAGCTCGATATCTATTTCATCCATTCAGCAATCACAGGTAATCACTGCATTATCTGCCACAAACATCATTTGCCCTAAAGCCAACAATTCATCTTTAAGTAAGGTTGGGATGTTTACTCCATACAAAAACTCAAGGCAGTCAGAAGGCCCCACTCAGCACTGACAATTATATGAATAGCTTTTTGGTCAACAAATGACACCATAAATTCAAGAGTTGTATGCACCCTGTACACAACCTCAAATAGGTAAATTCAAAATTGATGGCACATAATACTCAATCAAATCACACTTTAAATGTAGATTAAGAAATAGTGTAGATCCAAATTAAACAATCAAAAAATGCATAATTATAAAACTGACAAACTAAGTGACTATTAAACTGTATTTACACAATCTTATCTGTACCACTCTGATAAAGAGGAATATCCACCATCCTTAATTGGTATATTATATGGAAGTTATTATTGTGCATTGAAATTTCTGTACCATATTTTTATGACTCATATGCTATTACTTTTCATCTTTTTTATTATAACCATGTTATCTATTTGTTCACTAGGAGATACCACTGGATACTGAAGAAAACACACCCAAAATCCAGTTACTTTGAAAGAGACCTCAGCTGCAATTTCAAAAATAGTAATTTGAGGAGTAAAAACATACAAAATACTTTCAGGTCACACCCCAAAAAGGGATGTGCAAGAGTAGGGTGATGGGATCCTACTACAGAGCAGAAAAGGTTGCAACACACCTCTCATGCCAAGGGTAAGTATGCACAGTACACAAAGCACTCCTACAAATCAATACAAAAATTTTTAAAAAGAAGAAATGCGCACAGGATATAATCAGGCAACCTCACTGAAAATGAAATACAAATAGCCAAAAATAAACACAAAAAATTACTTAATATCATTAGAAATACACATTTATACTATCAGAGGCCACTTGTTACTCGTATCAAACTATTTCTAAGTTTGTTGATATAGTATATTATGAGCAGCCATAGAAAAGTAGGTACCTTGATACTCCATAAACAAATGGAAGTAGAACTGGCAGAACTACTTCAGAAGATAACTTTGCTGAACCTGGTAAGATTTAAATTCCTCCAGAACTCAAGGGAGTTCAACATGTGTTAATCAATAAACGTAATACACCATATCAACAGAGCCAAGGCAAAAACAATATGATGCAAAAAGAGCTTTTAACAAAGTTCTAAACCCATTCATGATAAAAGTCCTACAGAAAATTGGAACAGATGGTCTTTATCTCAATCTGATAAAAGTCATCTATGATAAAGCAACAGCCAACATCATGGTGAATGGACAAAAACTGAAAGCTTTCACTCTATCAGGAGCAAGAAAAGGATGTCCACTATCACCACCCTATTCAACACAGTTTTGGAAACATCAGCCAGAGCAACTAGGCAAGAGAAATAAAAGGAATAAGGATAGGAAAGGAAGAAGATAAATTATTATTATTTGCAGATGATATGACACTCTACACAGAAGATCCCAAAAATTGCACCAAAAGACTTATAGGCTTAATAACCAAATTCAATCCTGTAACTGTATACAAGTCAGTACTCAAAAATCAATAGCATTCCTGTACATTAAAGAACGAACTCACTGGGAGAGAAATTAGAGAAACAACATCTTTCACAATCGCATCAAAAAAATGAAATATTTATGAATAAATCTAACAAAGGAAGTAAAAGATCTCTATACTGAAAACGACAGTACTCTGAAAAAGGAGATCCAAGAGAATAACAGAAAATGGAAAGATATCCCTTGCTCTCAGATAGGAAGAAGCAACATAGTGAAAATGGCCATACTTCCAAATTATTATACAGATTTATTGTAATCCCCATCAAAATACCATTAGCATACCTTACATAACTAGAGAAAAGAGTGCTAAAATTCATTTGGAAACAGAAGAGACCTAGAATAGCAAAAGCAATTCTGGGCAACAAACTCCATGCAGGAGGCATCACAATCTCTGACTTGAAATTATACTACAAAGCTACTGTGATAAAATCAGCATAGTACTGGAAAAAAACAGACCTGAGGTCAGTGGAACAGATTACAAGATGTGGACATAACTATAAACACTCGAGCACCTCATCTTTGACAAAAGGGCCAAACATGTTCACTGGAAACAAGATAGCCTCTTTAATAAATGGTGCTGGAAAAACTGGCTCTCTCCTTGCCAAAGATTAAAAGTAGACCCATGTTTATCACCATGCCCTAAAGTCAAAGTGGATCAAAGATCTAAATATTAAAACAGAAATAATGTCTACTGGAAAAGAAAGTAGGTAAAAGTCTTGAAGACATAGGGGTAGGCAGAGAGTTCATAAACAAAACTCAAACTGCACAAAAAATACTTCAAAGAATCAACAACTGGGATCTTATCTTATTAAAAAGTTTTTGCACATCAAAAGAAATCACCAACTCGGTAAAAAGACATCCACAAAGTGAGAAAAAAATTTAGCCAGTTGTTCCTCAGACCAAGGACTAATATCTAAACATATAAAACTATACCCCAAAGTTAAAGAATCAGTCCAAAAATGGGTATCTGAAATGAACAGACATTTCTCAGGTGAAGTAAAACTGGCAAATAAATAAATATATAACAAAAAAGTTCAACAGCACCAGTCCCTCAGGAGATGTCAATCAAAACAATGCTGAGATTCCAACTCACTCCTGAAAGAATAGCTATCAAATGGCTGAATGGATAAAAAATGATTATCAGTTGATGAATGAATAAAAATGATGTGGTTTTTTTAATACAGTGGAGTATTAGTTATAAAGAATGATAAACTCACCTATCTTGTATATGTGCATACATATATATGTAGGAATATATATACACAGACATATATTTTCCTTTTCTTTTCTCCTTTCATCTGTTCATCAAAAAGAAGTTTGCTCTTTCACTGTTTTATTGTTTTTATGCTTGTATC